TGTGAGGAAGTCCCGCGCGAGAGCGCGATTTTGGAATACTAAGTATCCGGTGGGAGCCGTTTTTGTAGTTCGGGGCCCGGCAACGCAGTTTGGTGACACCAAGCTTTCCTTGCTAATTTTTTTGTTCGAGCGATCCTCACCGAAACCTTACGGGTTAGTTTTCGACGGCTGGCGGTCGCCCAATTGGTCGACAGTTGCAGTCTTTGCATTCAGAAACGGTCAAACCGTGTTCCATGTAGTCACGCTCTTTCAGGTCATGCTCTATTTTGTCCTTTTCTGTTCTCGACGGGCCGGCGTGGTGTCGTGACGCCTGTGACGTTAGATGCCTCGTTTGTTATGATATTTTTGACTCATCTGTGTTTCGTCTGATTGAGTATGTTATGGTATGGTCATCTCTTTCGCCAGATGATTTGAGATGTCATGATGTGCTCTGGTATGTGCCACTACGTCATGGCATGTTTTGTGATACCAGGCTATGTTATAGTATGCTATGTTCCGTGATACTGTTGGCAGCTCGGCTCGGTATAGTAGAGTATGAGATGTTCCGCTAGTGTGTGTATGTGTGTGTGTGTGTGTGTCGGCCGCTATGGTTTGTTGCCGTGCTCTGATATGTTCGGTGATTCAAGGTGTGCTATGTCGTCTTCTGTGATGCCATGTTCTGGTCCAGTATGTTATATGATGCTATGTTTGTTGACTTTTCGGCCCTACATCGTATGTTACGATTTGGTCTGCTAGTATGTGTCTTTATTGTCTGTTGTCGTGTTATGACATGTTATTTGATGCTGTGTCAAAGTATGATATGGTCTGCCAAGGTTTATTATGTATTGCTCGTCTCTGTCCTGTTATGTTGTGTTATTTCGTTGTTTGGTCGGGCATGTTCTGCTCTGGTATGTTTGTGATATTCTGTCATGCTCTGCTTTGTCATGACATTGCTACAGTCGGGCCGCTGAAAGAAGGAACGCTGAATAAGGAACGAAGCCCCTTCTTGGCCCAGTAAGCGCCTCCGTGCCCCTGGAGGGCAAGAGGAACGGCACTGGAGGAACCTAAGGAACATCGAGCCCCTTCCGAAGCCAAATTGTTCTTTAGTTCAGCGTCTTGAGCGTCTTGACTGTATGTTATGTTGTTCCATGGTCTGTCATGCTCGTGTTCTGTTATGTAATGTTCTGGTATGGCATGTTGTGGTCTGTCGTGTTCGTCGTCTCTATGCTCTGCAGTCGTGTTGTGATATGTTGAGTCGTGTTGCGCCATCATATCCTACGTTCCGTCAATGCATGCTATGGTATGCTCGGTTATGTTCGGTTGTGTTTCTTTCGGTCGTCCTCTGTTCCGTCATGTTCTGCCCTGTGTGTGATGTCATGCTTGTTGATTGCTCGGCCCTAAATCCTTTATTACGATCTGCTCTGCTACTGTGTGTCGTTATGCTCTGCTGCCGTGCTATGGCATGTTCTGTGATGCTGTGTCAAAGTACGATACGGTCTGCCAAGGTTTGTTATGTGTTGATCGTCGCTGTCCTGCTATGTTTCGTTATGTCGTTGTATGGCCGTCATGTTCTGTTCTGGTATGTTTGTGATCTTATGTTATGCTCTATGTTGTCATGGCATTGCTATGTTCTGCTCTGCCATTGTCTGTCATGCTCGTGCTCTGGTATGCCATGTTCTGTTATGTCATGTTGTGCTCTGTCGTGTTCGTCGTCGTTACGCTCGGCAGTCGTGTTGTGATATGTTTTGTGATGGTGCGTCATCGTATCATCTGTGTCCGTCAATGCGTGCTATGTTGCTATGTTATGTTCGGTTATGTTCGGTTGTGTGTCCTTCGGTCGTCCTCTGTTCCGTCATGTTCTTCCCTGGTATGTTATGTGATGCTATGTTTGTTGACGGCTCGGTTCTGAATAGTATGTGTGATTTGCTCTGCTACTAAGTGTCGCCATGCCCTGCTGTCGTGTTATGGCATGTGCTGTGATCTTGTGGCATGATATGGTATGTCATGTCAAGGTGTTATGGTATGGTGTGTTATGTCGTCTTCTGTTCTGTCATGTTATGCTACGATGTGTTATGTTGTTATGCTCTATTTTGTCATGCCATTGCCATGGTATATGTCATACCCTGGGCTGTCATGCTCGTGTTATGTCATGTGATCTTCTACTGTACCATGTTGTGTTCTGTCGTGTTCGTCGTCACTATGTTCTGCAATCGTGCTATGCTGTGTTCTGCGATGCTGCGCCATGGTATGATATGTTATGTCAAGGCGTGTTATGTTATGATCGGCTATGTTCGGTTATGGTGTTTCATTTCGTCTTATTTTATTGTATGCTCTGCTCTTGTATGCTCTGCGATGCTATGTTATGTTCTATGTTGTCATGGCACTGCTATGATATGTTCTGCCATCGTATGTCATTATCGTGTTCTGTTCTGTCATGTTCTGATGTGTCTTGCTGTGTTCTGTCGTGTTCGTCGCAGCTAGACTATGCTGTCGTGTTCTGAAATGCTCGGTGATGCCGTGACATGATATGATATGGTTTGTCAAGGTGTGGTATGTTACGCTCGGTTCTGTCATGTTATGTTGTGTTGTGTTGTCGTCTGTTATGCCACGTTCTGCACTGGTATGTTCTGTTCTGTGATGTTATGTTCTGTTCTGTCATGTTGTGTTCTGTCGTATTCGTCGAGGGCGCGAGGCGGGACACCCGGGACTCGGGGATCATCGGGACAATTTGCGGTCTGGCGGCCGCAGTATGAAGGGTGGGCTTGCCCGGGCGCGAGGCGGGACACCCAGGATTCTTGGGGATCAGCGGAACAACTTGGGGTCTGGCGGCCGCGGTACAGTCGGGGCCCTGAAGAAGGAACCCTTTTCGTTGGGGAGGGGCTCCACGTTCCTTGAGTGTTTCGCAGCTTGCCTCAGGTTGTCCTTATGTTTCCGATAGGAAATCGAAGGTTAACTTATGGAACAAAAATGGGGCCTCGTTCCTTATTTAGGGTTCCTTAGGTCAAGGCCCCGACTGTATGCAGGGTGGGGTTGGCAGGGCGCGAGGCGGGACACCCAGGACTCTCGGGGATCATCGGGACAATTTCAGGGTCTGGCGGCCGCTGTATGCAGGGAGAGGTTGGCCGTGGGGCTTGTCCTTGAAATCTAACAACCCCAACCTGTCGGGCGAGGAGATAACCCAGGATGCGAACCCCGAGGAGGGCACTTCAGTGGAATAGTTGGAGGGGGGATCATACATACTTATTCTTCAGACTTGCGAACCCAATCACAACAACAACAACAACAACAACAACCATTTTCAACACGTATATCCCAAACCCTTGGTACCCGCCCTCTTCGTCTTCAATCGCACCCCCTTTGGGGGTATATCTTCCTTACCTGCCACGTGCATTAAACGCAGCCCCTAAGCAGGGGAAGAGAGGACGGGGAGAAGGGGGAGTGAGAAGGATGGAGCACGAGAGAAATTTGCAGGAGGGCCTCGTCACGCCTCGGGGGTGGGGGGCTGGTCACTCAGCAGCGCTCTGGGCGATGATTCACATATCGGATCCTTGGGCTGCGTGTTTCTGTCGCCGTCATTGTGATTCACTGATCTTCTTCCAAGATCTAGTCCAGTGGTCCAAAATCAGTCCAGAGAGCAAGGAGTCATGATCAAGATACGTTCCAAGATTCTCATGATTTCTCCTAATGCTCCGCATGGGCTCCAGCAGGGAAGGATTCTGCAACCCCTGGACCCTATCCTAAGCCAGTCGCAGAATGACATCATCCTCGCTCGACCAGCTCGTCCTCCAAGCTTAGATCGGCGGCGTGCCGAGGAGGCCTCTCAGAAGGGCGGATGCCTTCCGAGCCTCCTGACAAGGCTCCTCCTCCTCCTCCTCCTCCTCCTCCTCCCCCTCCTCCTCCTCCTCCCGCCCCCCTCCCCCTCCTCCTCCTCCTCCTCCTCCTCCTCCTCCTCCTCCTCCTCCTCCTCCTCCTTCTCCCCCGCCTCCTCCGCCCGCCCCTTGTGCCTTCCCCCCTCGGCGCGCTGCCAATCACCGCCACCCGAGATCGCCGACCCCCGACGTCACGATCTCCCACAACTTGGAGCCCTGGAGGTCTGCACCCCTGACCCGGGGCCGGCCCTCCGAAGCCTTGGCCGTTTTTCTCGGGGGCGGCAAAGAGGGGGGTGATGACGAGGGGGGGATATCATGGCGGGGGCCATGCGATCTCCCCAGATTTCACGGCGCCTCTCCTCTTTCATTACGTCCTTGGCCCCCCCTTGGCCGCGCACGTGCCGCTGGCCATGATTTGCGCCCCCCCCTCTTGGACGCCCCCCTCTTAGCCGACCCCGATTTTCGACGGCCCTGGGGCGAGGAACCAGAATAAAGAACCAACAATTCTCCGCCCCGAATCCTGTCACGACTCGCGCATGTCTGGGGAGCCAGCCCCCCCCCCTGTCGCAAAGTCACGCCCGGAGGTAGGCCTCCTCTGTCTGCTGCATTTGTCGGGCCGGATCCACTTGTCGGGCCGCATCGATCCGTGGTGGTCCCCGCCAGAAACAGGGCGAGATCGCCTCTTCCTCCTCCTCCTCCTCCTCCTCCTCCTCCTCCTCCTCCTCTTCCTCCTCTTGTGGAAAACATGGGCCTTCCGTCGTGTTTTTTTGCTCGAGGCGAGGGAGTGCAGGATCAGGGGGTGCTATGAGGAGAATACAGAAGGCCTTGCGCAGCGCGCCATGGTTGTATCCTCTAGTCCGCACTCCCACCCCGTTAAGATGTGTGACGGCGTTCGCGCGGCGATGTTCCCACTTAAGTCCGACGTGAATCCGACGTAAACCCGAGGTCTGTATTCCGACGTGAACCCGACCGACGTGGGCCCAACGTAAATTGGCTCCCAAGTTGCCGCGCGAGGCCTCCAGGATTTTTCCCATCAGAGAGGGCGCCGCCGCCGTCGCCGCCAGAGGTCCACCACCGCCGCCGCTTACACACGGGGCAGGGGGACGACGACGACGACGATGACGACGCCACCCTTCTGCCAGTGGGCCCGAGGTACGCCGCGCTGTGCGCGAGTCGGCCGAGGACGGTGTGCAGCGCGGGGGCCCTGCTATCCCCGACCGCGCCGCCGCGTGCTTGTTGCCGACGGCCCCGTGGCGGAGCTCGATCCGATCGATGCGATTTCGGTATCGATTCCTGCCGATCGGTCCGGTTGCGATATCGGCCCGATTCTTCATCTGTTTCGATTTTTTTGTTCCTGTCGATCAGATTCGGGTCCGACCGATGTCGCCAAATCCCATTCGATATCGATAGTTCGTCTGCACCATGCGGCCCGATACCTGCATGGCTCTGTTATGCAGCCTGATCTGACGCGCAGTCCAACTCGATCCGATTTTCTGATTCGGTGCTGTAAGCTCGACTGCTCGCGCAGACACTCCATCCATCCTCTCATCCGCAACATGGTAGCAAAACCCATTCGGCCACGATTGAGGCTGCCTGCTTGATGCTGTTAGCGCGTCTCTATGGCCGCACTGGCGCGCGCACGCTCCCACGCAGAGCGACCAGCTGGTTTGGCACAGCTGATGCGGCCGCGATGGCACCTACGAGTACGAGCTTCCCAGCGCGGCACATAAGTCGCGCCCGCGCGCGGGCACCTCAGGTGCGGTTGGGATACTAGCGGTCGTGGTGGTGATGATAACGATGACGATGGCGAGGCCAGAGACGGCGCCGATGGTGGGGACGACGACGATGATGGTGACGTCCATGTGTCGGTGGTTTAAGTGGTTGTGGTGATGCTAGCGGCAATGGCGGCGATCGGAGATGACGACAGCCGTGGTGATGCGATGGCGCTGATCAGAATGATGGGAACGCTTGCGCGCGTCAATACATTCCGAGAAGGTTTGCAATTGTTTGTTGGAAGACGTCGTTTCCCCGATGGTTCGCAGAACTCTGCTGTAACATGCTTCGGGAACCCGTGGTTTTGGACAGACTTCGGTATGCGCTCGTGGCGGCGCGCGCATGTAGCCCTCATGGTGCCACTTGATACGGATTGTACTGAGCACATGCTAGGTCACCGCGGGTGCACAGCGTGGTGAGATGAGAATGTGGGCTTTGGGCGAGAATGCTAAAACCATACGGCATTCTCATGATGTCAGGAAATGCACACGGGCAGAACATCTGCAATACATTGGATGAGCAATGTGTTGCTTCAATTTGCTGTGTATGCTGATGTGTTTGCATTGCGATTCTGTTCAGTATGGGTATGGCGTGTGAACTCCCATTTTGGTTTTGCAGTGGGTACTTGCAACGTGTTCGTTCGAGATACGCAGGTGTGCGCACAGCGCCGTAAGTACTCAACAGGGATGCGGAGGGATACATTGCAATACCCGGGTGACGCAGGACAACATGGGCTCGAGGGGGTCCTACGGCCCATTCTTCGTTCATACAAGAGAACACATGTGGTACAAGTTCTGGGTTGCAAGTCAAGTGGTGCAAACACTGCTTCGAAAACGGCGCCAGCAAGAACACGAGGCATCCACGACGGGCGAAAACCAAGCACATCCATCTACCAATCCCCAGTAGACATCAACTCACATGGGCTCACGCCCCAGCCGACCCAGCCACTCCTTTCGATAGGCGCGTGAGATTTCCTCAATGAGACCACTTTTGATGCATGTTTGTGTTGTGGGGAAGGGGGTTTGCGAACAGTGCGGATATCGGGCGATTCCCAGTCGCACGTTCGGAAACAATCAGGCATGCGTCGGAAATAATGTTTGGAAGGTACTTGTTTTTGCTCACAGGGATGCTTGGAAGGAATGCTTGGAACAGCTTGGCAATCAGCAAGCGTTTGCGCTACTTTTGGGTCTCTCGCATGGAGCAAAATAGCGAAGGCGGTCCATTGCGGCCCGCTCCCGCCTCGCGCTGCAAGCGCGGTGCTGGTGGAATTCTTTGTTGTTTCCCTGGGCTCTTGTTCCTCAAGATGGGCAGCTCGTATTCGATCTGGCTCCTCAATGACACGTACGGGGCAGCGGCCTTCAATCGAATGGAGGATCGTTTCCCCTTCGCCCTTGGACGGTCCATCACGAGCGTCTACTTCTACGCGAAAGGTGACGGGGATCTGTTCGCAGAGGAGACCCTCCTCGAGGTCGGGCGTGCGATGGACAGGGTGCTGAGCGTGCAGGCGTCCACGGGAGAGAGGCTCGAGGACTGCTGCGAAAAGGACTGGCGGGGCTGGTGCGAGGCAGAGTCCGTGTTCCACCAGTTCAACAGCAGCGCCGGAGCCCTCGGCGCGACGATCGCCCCGCCGCAGGGGATGGGCGAGGTCGAGGGCTTGGCCCACCAGTTCTCGCAGTTCTGCTCGCAGTCCACGGCCTCGTGCGCGGCGTTCCTGGGGCCCCAGGAGGGCGCCACCGCGGTGACCGTGGCCGAGCAGGGCCTGCCGGGCCTCCCGCGGGTGCTGTCGCTTGTGCTGTATGTCTTCCTCGACACCGACCTGGGGGCTGCATCCGACGCGTCGGGCGCCAAGACATGGCAGGGGGCCGTGCTGGAGGAGATACACGGGCCCAGCTACAGTGCCGGAGAGGACAGCCTGCAGACCGCAAATTTCTTCGTAAGCAGCTGGTCGAAGGCCCACGAGGAGTTCGAGGCCAGCCGCCCGTCTGGCCAGGAGACCCACTTGATGGCGATTGCTCTTGTGCTGGTCAACGTGTTTACCTGTTGCGCTATCGCTGCACCCAGGCAGCCGCGCGCGAGGGTCTTGTTGGCCAGCTGTTGCATGCTGCTGGTGGTGCTGGCCCTCGTCAGCGCCGTAGGCCTCTGTGGCTACGCAGGCGTTCCCTTTACCATCATGACCTCGCTATCCATATTCACTTTGTTTGGTGTGTCGGTGGACGATATCCAGCAGCTTGTGGCAAGTCCCGCCATCGTTCCACTGTCCGAGGGGCGCACTGGAAACCGCCGCGTGCGACGCCTCGAGTCCCGAGGCTTGGGAGCCGCAACACGTGACGCGCTCTTTGACTTCGCGTCGGTGTGCGGCGGCGGTTGGAGCACCCCCCAGATGGCGATTAGTTACGTGTGACACCTCGGCCGTCTTGGAGCTATCTGGGATTGCTTCGAAGGCGTCCTGGGGCGGAGTAGAGAATATGGGATGGTGGTATTGATGATGATGAGGAGGAGGAGGACAAGGAGTGCCGTCACATGTAACACCCCGTCTTCACTTATTGAGGGGTTCTCATGGGGCTTATTCGGAACGTCTTGGAGCTGAAAAGGGCTCCTATGGGGCAGTATTGGAGTATCTGTTTGTGCCGTCTTGGGTGTCTCTTTGGGCCTCTAGGGCCGTCTTGGAGCGCTCTTGGGCCGGCTTAGACTATCGTAGGCCGTCATACGGCTTTCTTCGCCGTCAGGGAGGTTTCTGAGGGCCGTCTTGGGCCGTCCAGAGGCCGTCTGTGGTCCCTCTGTAGGCCCTCTCGGGTCAGCTTGGAGATATTTTTGGACCGTCCTGGTCTGTCCAGAAGCCCTCTTAAGGCTCAGCCCGCTTGGGTTTTCTTAGGCCACGCGTGGACCGATCTTCGGCCAAAGAGCGGGCAAAGTGAAAAACATTGATAAACCTGCTTGAAATGGGGCCTCCTGGAGAGCGTCTTGGGGGTGTCTGAGAGCCTCTGGGAGTCCTCTTTGGCTCTGTCTGGCCATTCTTGGTTGCTGCTGGGCACTGCCGGGTACGTCTTCGCGGCCTGTGCGGGCTTCCTCGGTCGTCTTGGAAGCTTCGCAGGGCTCTCGATAGCGCCGGGCATACGTCACTCCGCTCAGGGTGCCTCAAAGAGGAGGGGCTCCCAGGGAGTTCCCGGTCGGCGCCTCCCGGGCTCGCTCGTGGCCACCAGGCGCACGTCGCAGCAAGCGGCTGGTATGCCCGTGCGTTGTTGTCGTGCGCTTGCCGTGCCTGTGCGCCCGCGTGCTGCCGGCCTCTGCTGCGCGCCCGCGGGCGCGCACGTGGGGGGGGGGGCGGCCGACGTCGTCGCCGTCGTCGTCGTGGTCGTCGTCGTCGTCGCCGTCGTCGTCGCCGTCGTCGTCGTCGTCGTCGTGGTCGTCGTGGTCGCCGTCGTCGTCGTCGTGGTCGTCGTGGTCGTCGTCGTCGTCGTCGTCGTCGTCGGCGGCTGCGGCTGCGGCGGCGGTGGCGGCGTCTGCGCCGGCGCGCCCAGCAGCTGCGGCCGCCCCCCCGCTGGTCTCCGGGTGCGGTCCCTCGGCCTTCTGGGAAGTTTCCGAAGCCTTCGCCGAAGGCACAGAGCATTTCTCGGAGGGGGGATGGATGGCTCCCCCTTCTCATTTCCCCCCCTCGCTCGCCGCCGAACTCTGCCTGCAGAGGAGGGAGGTCCTTCAGAAGACCACAGAAGTCCTCCCAGACAGGAGCCAGCATTGTACGACGCCTCAGCGCACTTAGGGGCAGGCGGGTCATTGTCATTGTCCATTCTTACGATAGGCTTCCAGGGGCACCTACTTTGGAAGATGTTGGCAGCCGTTTCGAGGCGTCGTTGAAGGACAGTGGTCCCGCAATCACGCTCACGTCCGCCACGTCTTTGGTGGCGTTTTGCTGTTCTGCTTTGATGCCGCTTCCTGTGATCAGCTGGTTCTGTATCACGGCAGCTTTCGGGATATTGGCTGTTTACGTGCTCCAAATGACGATGTTCTTGCCCCTCTTTATCATGGACGAGAGGCGTCGACTCCGGCGCAGGCGGGATTGTTGCCTATCGATCTGTATGGGGCCCGTTGAGGGGACGCTTGACGAAGGCTGTGCCAGAGGCGACGCGCTGACTAGCCCCTCTATCCCCGTGCAAGTGCTAACGTTGCCAGCCGTGGGAGGTGGATGCGGTCTCTTCGAGCGATTTGGAAAGCTGGTCGCCAATAGCCCACTCATTCGGGGCGTCGTTGTCCTTGCTTCTCTGATTTCCGTCGGCCTCGGAGTCTGGGGATGCATCAATGCTTCCACATATGCCGACCTCACGAGCTACTACGCCGACGGTTCTTTTGCGCACGAGTATTTTGCCTTGCACGGTCAACATTGGGGCGGCGGGCTGTCGCCGTTCTACCTGGTCATCGAGCATCAGGGCGAGGGCCTCTTCAGCGACGAAAGGCAGGCGCAGCTCGACACCGTCTACGAGAGCATGCAGGCGCTGGAGTTCATCCTGCCGCCGTACGCCAACTGGCTGGCGGACTTCGAGGAGTACCTGAACACATCTGTGCCCGCCAGCGGCCTGGCCGCCGAGCGTGCGCGCCTGCAGGGGGACGCGGCCGCGTTCGGCGAGCTGGTGGCGGAGTTCCTCGACGCCCCCACGTTCCTGAGGCGTCGATGGCAAACCATAGGAGCCTTCTATACGCTCGTCACTCTGTCTCCAGAGAGAGAGAGAGAGAGACCATGAGCGTCGATTAGCATCTGGTAGCCGATGAACAAATTCTGATGCAGCGTCGGTTAGCTTCGACTAGCGTCGATCAGCGTCGATTTAGCGTCGACCAGCGTCGGTTCGCGAGAACCAACACCAACAGGATGGTATTGGAGGCTCCCATGAGTTGCCGCAGAAGGCGAGACGGCAGCATCTGCTCGCCGTGGACGCACAAGCGGAACGTTGTCCTGGAGGGCGGCGCCGTGCTCTTCTCGCGCCTCGAGGCCGTGTACGCGGCCGACATCCTGGAGGCTCTTGCGCCCTGCCGCCGCCCCACCCCTCACACCCTCACACCCTCACACGCCTACCGGACACCCCGGGGGCCTGGCCAGGGGCCTCCCCTGGGGGCCTCGGACCCCGGCAGAGCTGCTCCTGCCCCCCCCCTGGAGCCTCCAGGTAAGAGAGGCGGTTGTTCTGTAGACTCACGCGAGTTTACTTGCATGGCGTTTGCCCTCCCGCCCCCCCTCGCCCCTCGCCCTATGATGTTCCAACCTACTTGAGCATTGATCACCAGAAAGAATGTCGAGCACCAAGAAGTACCGAAACTCGAGGGTTTCCACGTGTCGGGCCCTGGGAGACACTCGCCCGACACTGTTTCGACACTTTTCCCGGTGCTCGAAATTATTTATGTTATTTCTGGGATGTGGTCTTGTCCTTGAGTACGATGTGAGCAACATAACCCTCGTCAAACAAGAGCAAGCGTGCAGGTGCTCGTTTGCGTGATTCCCGCCGCCCCCCCCCGTGCAAGTGCAAGAGACCGTTGGGGGGCATCAAGATGCTTTTCTGCAAATCGGATTGCCTTGAATGTTCAACGTGACTTCTTCAAACTGGTCTGGGGCTCCCCCTCCAGCACAGATTTGTGATTCGAGGTCAATGTTCCCAATTGTTTGCCAAACGCAATGCGCAGTTGTGCTCAATACTGCAACGCGAAACAGTTCGAGTGGAAACGGGAGCAACTATGCGAAATGATCTACAGCGAAACCCACAACGATGCAGGTACAACTCTTGCCAAGAAACTCCCGATAGGTGTCTGCAAGTTCAAATGCATGACGGCGCTGTGTTGTTCAAAACAGAGCTGCAGGAACGGGATGGATGCAGCATATTTGTGGAATTTTGGAGCCGCATCTTGCGATAGTTACTCGGGGGAGCGTAAGACCCGGGTTTGCCAGGACTCGGGTTCGCCATCGTTTTTTGACGACCGCACCTCGGATTTTGACGAGGAGAAGTTTTGTGGGATGTCTGCAGCGGGAGGCCTCGTCAAAATGCAGGCTCGGCCTCGTCATTTTTTTGACGACCTCGTCGGGGATTTCCGAGTCCCCTGTACCCAGGTCTTACGTCCCCCTGAGTTACCTAGCTTTAAGTCGGGCGCGTCCCTCCACAGGATGGCAATTCCCAAATAGTCAAAAATAGTCTGGGGACGATTGTTCGACTATGTTTAGCTACTTCTATGTTTGAATATGTTTGATCATGTTTTACCTGTCATTCAAAATCCGCATGTTGGGGGACATGCCCGACCTAATGGGAATCGCATCTTGCCTTACGGCATACCCAAGGCAAACCTTGCGGGCGCCTGCGATGTTCTATGGATTCTATTTGCTTTTTTGCGTCGGTGCGGAGCCCCCCCCCCAGCGTGCAGGTTGTTTTTGGATCGCTTGGGGTGCAGCCCTCCCCCGTCCATGCAAGTAAACTTCCCACACCCTATAGAAGCGGGGGTGGACACAACCCCGAAACTGACACGTCGATTAGTGAATTGTCCGTCTTCGGTTCTCGAGAGGGCGCCGTGGCCGTCATCTTCCAGGCTGGCGCCCGCCCGATTTGGGCCCGAGGTCGTTTCCACTAAACCACGTTTTGCTAAAGGGAGGTCAGTCGTAAATCTGGCATGGTCCTCCACAGGAGGAGTATTCGCAGGAGGGGAAAAAACACACACAGACACCATGAATCGCCGATTCCCCAGAAAATATGGGAAAATATGGGCTGGGAAAATATGGGCAGTGGGGGGGAAGACAGAAACCCAGAAAATATTGGAACATATGGGGAATAGTTTTATTTGTGTGTATTTATTTGTGTGTCCTGGGGCCCCTTCAAAAAAGGCAGTCTCTAAGATTGGACGGAGTCCAAGGCGAGCGAAGCTGGCTTCCAGACCGCTCCAGCCAGCTCGAGGTGACTTCAAATTGGCATCAGGTGCTCCTCGAGTGGCCGGAAGACGGCTCCGAGGCGACCCCCCAAGAGAGCCCCAAAGGGCAAAATCCGTTCACTGATCAAGTAAACAGTAGATTTCCAGCAGATTTGGGTTTTCGGTGTGGACAGCCTCCAAGACGACCCCCAACACCGCCCCAAGACGGCCCCAAGACGGCCCCGAGACTGCGCCAGATGCGCCCACGAGCGCCCAAAAGGGGCTCCGAGAGAGGCCCAATACGCCCCCAGAGGGCCCCTGCACGCGCCAAGAGGCTCCCCCAAGAGGGCCCCAGCCGCCCCGCGAGAGCCCCAGCCGGGGAGCCCCCCACTTGCCCGACACCGCCACCTGGCCTCCAAGAATTTCCCGAGAGACCCCTTGAGCCCCCATGAAGCCTCCAGGAGGCTCCCCAAGAGGCCCCAAGAGCCCCAAACATGCATTCAACAGTCTCCCGCGAGGTCTTCTGGGAGACTGCATGCAGTCTCTCAGGGGGCCCCCGTGTCTCGGAGAGTTCTCGGGCCGATGGCCGCGTCAGTAGTCCCGTTTGGTGTTCCTTCTCCCTCTTCCTCCTCTTCCTCCTCGTCCTATTCCTCCTCCTCCTCCTCCTCCTCCTCATCATCAGCAGCAGCAGCAGCATCATCAGCATCAGCATCATCATCCATGCTTCTCCTGCTTCCTCGCCTTCCCGCCGCCATCGTTCTGCCCTGCTTCTTCTGCGTCAGTAGTCGCCTTTTCTCCCTCGTCCTCCTCTTTTGCCCCGTGCCTTTCTGGCCTCTAAGACGGCAGAAGAGGACTAGCACGGCCCAACCGGCCCCAAGAGGGGCCCAAACGGGGGTCTCCTTGAGCCCTCTCCCTCAAGACGGCCTGCGAGACCTCCAACATGTCCTGGAGAAGGCCCCAAACACTTCTAGGCCCCGAAGACTTCCCCAAGAGGCCCCCGGAGGCAGACAGGAGCCCCCAGACGCCACACAGATATCGCCACAAGATATCGCTCGAAATCCGACCTCCCCCCCGAAAGAACTCCCCGACGGCCCTCTGGGGCTGTCTGGGGACTCTCTCGGGGGCGCGGGGACAACAGCCGGGGGTGGTCAACCAATCCTTGAAAGCAAATCCATGTGTATGTAGTTGAGCACCTCTCGCCCTAAACCCAGTCCCCCTTCGCATCTTCGGCAACGAAGTCGATGGCTTCCAAATCCGCAGCCCTTCTTCATTCAGGCACGGCCCCTCCTGCAACCTAGCGCTACGCTCCAAGATAAGCAGAATTTGAGCGCGATGGTTTTAGTTCGCAGATAGTTCCCAACATCGAAGAGAAGCACTGAATACACATAAAGTTTCGGTCGTTCGTGCGGATTGCTTGTATCGGCGCTTGGCCCCCCTGGCGACGCCTCTGGCGTCACCCCTGGCGCGCTCCGCGCGCCAGGGAGGGGGATCCAGCGCCGATCCCAGAAATCCGCGCGGACCTCCGAACGTTTGTGCTCATGCCTTTTTTAGTTCCCCTCAGAAGAGCATGTGGCCCTGGTTGAAAGGTCTGCGGTCTGAAGCTTGTGCTCAGCGTGCTGCGCCGCCACTTCTGGCCCACCACGCTTCGGCGCCCCCTTCCAAGCGTCCGCATCCCGAGCCTTTTCCCAGCCTCCCGCCCCGCGGAGAGGACCGACACGCTGTCCGCTTGCAGGGCGTGGCGTGCAGCCGGGGCCGCCGCCGCGACACGCCAAGCAGAAGTTCCAGATTGCTTGAAGTCGGGCCTGTCCTCCTACAGGGGGATTTTGGATGAAAAACAAAACATAGTCAAAACATATCCCAACATTGCAAGAGCATGCTCAGAAAATCGTCCCTGGACTATTTTTTGACTATTTTTTGATATTCCTCCCGTAGAGGGAGAGACCCGATTTAATGATTGCTTTGGGATCCCATGAGGCCGTCTTGAGGCGAGCTTGAGGGGCTCTCGAGGTCGTCGCCGTGTCCCATCCGGGAGTGGACTGGCACTGGCGGGGCGCGCCGGAGATCCGTAAAGATGCGTCTTCGGGAGCAGCCGTAGGGTTAAATCGGGCTTGTCACTCAAAAAGAGAAATATTCCCAAATAGACAAACAATAGTCAGGGGACGATTGTTTGAGCATTTCTTTTGTCATTTTTGCATATTGTTGGGGTATCTTTAATTGTTCGTCAAAAATCCGCCTGTAGGGGGACATGCCCGACCTAAGGATAGTCGGGGGTGGATAGACCTTTGATCCTGACACGTCGATTAGCGAATTGGCCCGTTTGCGGTCGGCGAGAGGGCGTCGCGGCCGTCACTGTTGCGGGTCCAGGTCCGTCGGTTCCGGTCCTAGGCCGCTTTCACTGAAAGGGTGGTTTGCTGAAGGGAGGCTTGTCCACCGCTGAGATAGGTTACCAGCCTCGAACGTATCCCTATCCCTAAGATTGACACGCCAAAAGGCGATGACAATCTTAGGGGTTCGCCCTCAAAAAATAAGGGAATCCCTAAGATTGGCATCGTGGTGAGGAGGTGCCCAGCATAGGGATAGGGATATGTTCCAGGCTGGCAAATAGGCTCAACGGGGGATGGATCGGCCCCCGACCGCCCATTCATCGCCGACAGGGGGCCCGATGGCCCACCCCTGTCACGGACGTGCGGGGTCGCTATCGGGGCCTATCGGCGATGCGTGTAACTCGCCGAGATCCCAGGTCGATGCTTCCCCCTTCCCCTGAGCCGGCCGTCCCCCGTCGTTGCCCCTCTGCTCCTCCTCCTCCTCCTCCTCCTCCTCCTCCCCCTCCTCTTTCTCCTACTCCTCCTCTTCCTCCTCCTCCTCTCCTCCTCTCTCTCTCCTCCTCCTCCTCCTGCCCTCCTCCTCCGCCTCCTCCTTCTGCTCCTCCTCCTGCTCCTCCTCCTTCTGCTCCTCCTCCTGCTCCTCCTCCTCCTCCTCCTCCTCCTCTATCCCTGAAGCCCTCTGGGCTCCGAAGCAGCCTCGCGTAAGTGGCAGGGCTCCCTCGTGGAGCTCCCAGTTTCGGCCGCCCAAGCAGCAGGAGCAGCGGGAGGGAGCAGCCCACCATCTCAGGCTCCGTCTTGCTCTTGGTATGCAGGGGCCCGCGGATCAGAGACCAGCCGACCTACATCCGCAGTTTCCACAAGAGCATGGAGGTGTTGTACCCCAATGGGTACAACAGCGAGCTGGAAAACCCCCAGGTTCCGAATACATACGGGGTGTCATTGACATTCGCTCTTGCACAGCGCGAAGACGCAATGAAATCATTGATCTTTCAGAATTTGGGCATCGCCTGTGCTGCCGTCGCCGTCACGGTGATAGTGATGTTGAGCCCATTAGTCGGCTTGTTCGTTGGCGCCGTGGTTGTGTGTGTGGATGTCGTGATTTTGGGGCTGCTCACTCTGTACGGGGCCAAGCTGGATTTCACCGCGCTAGCTTGCCTGAGCTGCAGCATCGGTCTCGTCGTGGACTACTCGACGCACACCGCCTTCACGTACCTAAATCACCCGGGCGGCCCTGCAGCGAAGCTCCACGCCTCGGTGAGCACCATGGGCGCGTCGGTTCTCTCGGGTGGTGGCTCCACGTTCCTGGGTATCTCCGTCCTTGTCTTCGCGTCCTCCAAGGCATTCAGGTATTTTTTCTACGTCCTCGGCACTGCCGTCCTCATGGGCACTCTCATCGGCGTCACCGGCTTGGTGCCCCTTGATCGCGCGACCGCCTGTCACGAATTACAGCCCATTACCTCTGCAACAGACGCTTTTTCGCCACTGACAAGAACAGGTCGGCTGGCGCTACTGCCGTCCAGGCCGCCGTGGGTCCGCTTGGCCGCCCGGGGCCCTCGATCAGTAAAAACCGATGCAGGGCGGAAGCTCTGCCTCCGAGAAGAGTCGAGTCGGGGACGCGACACATGGGGTGGGGGGGGGTGGCGAGGGCTGCAGAAGAAGTGCTCTTGAGGGCCCCAGAAAAGGGGCCCCTTGAGGACCCAAGAGGGGGGGGCCTCTCGGGCCCGAGAGGTACATCTTTAGGGCCCCGAAGACCCCCAAGGCCGCAGACGCCCAAAAAGGGCTCCTGCAGGGGCCCTCAAGGGGATTCGTTTCTGCAGCCCTCGCTGGGCCCCCCACGGCGCCCCCCGCCATGGATGGAGCGACGCCCAACAAGCACGACGCTGGAAGTCTGGGTGGCGGCCGCAGGTTTCCATCGAGGTGGCGACGTCCCCCCCGGGGTTCATTCTAGGCTGAAATCGGGCGTGTCCCTCTACAGGAGGATCATTCAGGAATAGCCAAGACATAGTCTGGAGACGATTTGCCGATTCTTGTGTGACCATGTTGGAATACGTCTTGACTATGCTTTATTGTTTCTTCTTAGACCTGCCTGTAGGAGGACATGCCCGACTTAATTCTAGCCAGGTTGACCCAAAAGGGGGTCCAGCTGAAAGGGGGTGCTGCAATAGATTTGGTGCAATTGATTTGTGGGGTTGCAATACATTTGGGGCGTGCAATACATTCCGGGGCGCAAATGTATTGCTGGACTTTCGCGTGCAATGCATTCGTCGCAATACCATGCAACAGAATTCTCCGGCGCAGTACATTTGCAACACAATTGCCCCCCCCTTTGAGCTGGACCCCCCCCCTTTGAGCTGGACCCCCTTTTGTGGGTCGACCACATCTGGGCCGTGCATGGGGGCGGGGTCCCGTGACCCGTGGCGCCCGCGAATGGGGACCTTCCAGAGATGGCAGCTCCCGCCGGGGGGATCGCGGCGGAGGGAAAGCGCACGGCGACGGAAGCAGAGTCTGGAGGAAGCAGGAGGAGGAGGAGGAGGAGGAGGAGGAGGAGGAGGAGGAGGAGGAGGAGGAGGAGGAGGAGGGGGAGGGGGAGGGGGAGGAGGAGGAGGAGGAGGAGGAGGAGGAGGAGGAGGAGGAGGAGGAGGAGGAGGAGGAGGAGGAGGAGGAGGAGGAGGAGGAGGAGGAGGAGGAGGGGGGGGGGAGAAGCAGAATCTCGAGGGAAGCGTACCGCGAGTCAAGCAGCGGCGAAGCGTCCTGGCTCGCCCGCTGCGGTGCGTGCCACGGCCGCGGCTCGCAGTTTGAGGCGACCGCGGCGCTGGCTGTCGCGCGGCGGCGCCGCTGGCCCAGCCGAGGGCCCCCGCGCCCGCCCCCGTCGCCCCTCCCCCTGACCCCGCCTGCGGAAAAGTTTAGATCGGGAGCGTTTCCTGCAGTTTTTTTTTGCGTTTATATAAGCGTTTTTCTGTCCATATAAATGTTTCGGGGCTTTTCCCGCTCGAGACATTCTGGAACAGTTTAGATTGACTTTAAATGGGGTTTATGTATATATGTATGTAGAGATATACGTGTCGGAGGTGAAGGGGGTGAGATCGAAGTGGAGCAGAGAGCCCCCCCTACCGGGAAATCGGTTTCGGTTTCGTGTTCGTGCGTGCCGTGCGTGCGGGCGAGGCGAAGCTGCGTGGGCGGGCGAGAAATAAGTCTCCTGTAGCTGAGGCGCGGCCGGACCAAAAGTCCCCTTTCCGGCAACCAGTGCCCCGCGGTGTCCCGCCGGTGTCCCTCTCGGGGGTTGGTGGCGCGCGGTGTCCCGTCGGTGTTTCGATGATGATGATGATGATGATGATGATGATGATGATGATGATGATGATGATAATGATGATGATGATGATTATGATGATGATGGTGTTGATGATGTTGACGTTGATGGTGACGATGATGATGATGGTGATGGTGATGGTGATGATGATAGTGTTTCGATGATGACGATGCTTATAATGATGATGTTCACGATGTTGCTACTGATGATGGTGATGCTGATGATGATGATGGTGCCCCTACAATGGTGATGTTGGTGATGGTGTTGTTACTGCTGATGACGATGTTGCCCCGATGATGATGATGATGATGATGATGTTGATGATCCTGATTTTGTTGGTGGGGATCTGATGATTTGATGGTGGTGATAATGATGATGATGGTGATGATGGTGCCCCGTTGATGATGATGTTGATGATGATGATGTGATGGTGGTGGTTTTGAAGATGGTGGCCCAATGATGGTGATGATGCTGCTGATGTTGATGCTGGTGATGATGATGGTGTCCCGATGAGGTTGATGATGATGAGGATGGTGATGATGATGGTGTTTCGACGGTGATGATGATGTGGATGATGACGTTGCGAAGGATGGTGATGATGATGATGTCCTCAGTATGATGATGCGAATGATGTTCATGACCATGATGCTGATATGATGATGATATTGGTGGTGTTCCGATGATGATGACGATGGCGCCCCGGGGATGGTGATGTTGATGATGATGATGATGGTGGCGAGGATGGTGCCCCGATGATGATGATGCTTCTTGTGTTGAGGGTGTTGATGATGATGGTGGTGAGGTGATGATGATGGTGCCCTGATGGCGCTGCTGGTGATGATGATGTTGATGACGTTGATGACGATGATGTTGATGATGATAATGATGACGTCGATTGTGGTATCGGTTGTGTTTACGATAGCGGTATACAGTTAAACCGAATGTGAGATCGATTGTGCGTTCGTTAGTGAGATCGATACTGAGATCGATTGTGAGATCGATTGTCACATCGATTGCGAGATCGAACGAATGAAATAGATCGAGTAATATCGATTGTGAGATCGATCGAGTGAGGTCGATCGAGCGAAACCGATGGTGATATCGATAGAGTGATATCGATCGAGCGAGACCGATCGAGTGAGACGTTGGTTCCCCCCCCCCGAACCTCCTTATCTCCCGAAGGGTGGTCGTATATATATATATATATATATATATATATATATATTATATAAATGTGTGTATATATATATGTATGTATATATATATATATATATACCGGCCTGGTGCCTAAACTTTGTTTTGGGGTGGATCTAAATTTTTGGATGCGCGCCCGTGCAGTGCAGGCCCTGGTCGCCGCGCGGGATTCTTGCCAGCGCCGCCAATGGCCGACGCGCCCATAGGTTTCTGCCCTGGCACGAGCGCGCGAATGTCCACAATGGTTTTGGGCATCGACCGCGTGCCAGCGCAAGGAAACGCCAAGTTCGAATGCCAATGGGCATGCCAGCAGCGCGCGTTTCGCATTGAATGTCGCGGCGTTGTCGTCGGCTGACCGTCGACAAGTTTCCGCTCTCAGTTTGCGCGTCGCTTGACGGTCCCATTGGTGTTAAGTTCCTCATGTGGGGGGCGAGGGTCGCTTTTCACGTGTTCGGATCAATTTTTTTGCTCTCAGAACACTTTTGGGTTCTCAGGAAATTTCTTCGTAGGCCTATAGGAATGCCGGGACGGTCGGCCCCCTGCTCAACTGAGACGTGGGTCATTGCAAGCAGGGTTTAACCAGAGCGCCCGATCTTGCAGGATTTGGCAGATCCACGGGCACATTGGCCCGGGCTTGGGCGCAGTTTCCAGCAATGTCTTGCAGGATCCTGCAGAGCCTGACTGACCTGGGTCTGGACTGACCTGGGTCAGTATCAGGGGGGGAACAAAGACACATAGATAATCAATCGTCGATTCCCAGGGGCACGTAAAGAAAATATGGAAGGTGGGGGGGAAGACGGAATCTCATATAATATTTGGAAATAATGGATGTCCTAGGACTTGTGTCTAGTTATTTGAGTGTCCCAGGGCCCCTTCGCAGCAGATCTCCGACAGGACGCGGGGGGCTGCGCCGGCGGAGGCGGCGGAAGGCTGGCAGGAGCAGGCGGACGCAATCAGAGCGGATCCGATAGACGGTCTCGAGGTTTCAAGGGGCGTTCGCTCTCCCTCTCCTCCTCTCCGAGGCGGGGATATATCCATAACCACATCCCAAAGGATCGGTCTGCGCAGACCTCCACAAGCGGTGGAGTCCACAGTATAGCCACATCCACCACCCGCTGGGGCCCCAGGGCGTCGGTTCCCAGGCGGTGGATGTTGGTAGATCCGTGCCTTTTCCGTGACGTGCCCACGTTTCCCCAACCAGTGTTTGCACTGAAGGGGTCCTATAGCGGAAGTTGGAATGATTTGGCGAAAGTTTCCCGCCGATTTTGGCAGCAGGCTGGGTTGCCAGGTTTCCAGTTCTGGGTTCCCGGGTTCCCGGTTATTTGGTTCCGGGTCGATCCTTTCTCTTTTTCCGTGACCTGCCCACGTCTTCCCAGCGCGATGAAACCATTCGTTGTTTTTGGTCGGTTGCGACAGGGCGATCGTGCCGCGGAAAAGTTAGCAATCGGGCCACGTCGGCGGAACGTACACATCACTGACAGGCGCGCGGAACAAGACAGAGATGCGGCCGCGAAGGGAAGAAGGAAGGGCAGCAATTTGGGGTGGTCGCTCCCGTTTTCGGCTTCAGTCGGGCCTGTCCCTTTACAGACGGGATATTCAAAATAGTCAAAAAAATATCCGGGGACGATTTTTTGAGTTCTTTTGTTGGGTATTGGGGGGCATCTTTTGGGCATTCCTATTTTTCTCTTTTAAAATCCCCTTGCAAGAGGACAGGCCCGACTTAATAATATGGAAGGACAGCAATTTGAGGGGGTCGCTCCCGTTTTCGGGCCCTGGGACTCGCAAGAGATTGCACGCGCCCGTTTTCTGGCCCTTGGATTTGCAAGGATCGGCGCGCGACCAACGAGGCAGTGCGGCTGGGCTCTTCCTATGCCGTCGCAAACTCTGGAGCCCACGTAGATCAGACAGAACATAGCAGTTTCTGGATTCCCATCGGTTTGTGGGGCGCCTGGGGACCCCAAGAAATGGCACCCCCATGCGAGGGCCTTGGGCCTCGTCTTAGAGCGGTGATTCCGCGCATTGCACTCATGCCCTTGCCGGCTTGCCTTCTCAGCCCTCTCGCGCGTGTCTGGTGCTGCTGCGCTCGCCTGTGACGCCCAAACTCCGAGGCGGGGACTCATCCATGACCACCGCCTGCGGGGTGTCGATCTTCGGGGGCCTCGGCAGGCGGTGGATATGCACATGTCCTGGCCCCGGGGACCCAAAGGCCCACACTGTGTCCATGTCCGCCGCCTCCTGGGGACCCAGGACGTTGGTTCCCTGGGCGGTGGTTAGCGCTCGTGCGCCCTGTGGGGCGCACCGCGTTTCCCGGACGGGCGATCAGGGGCCTGCGATCCCGGTGCGGGTTCGGCGGTTGCCGGCCCGCCTTCCGTGCACCAGTCCTCCAACAGTGCACGATGGACCGTCCGACGGTGTGATGATGGCGAGAAAGAGAACGGTGCATTGGAGAAGCCCCCGCCTCGCACTGAGGACGAGGAGGAGGAAGAGGAGGAGGAGGAGGAGGAGGAGGAGGAGGACTGCTGCAGGGGCCAGGGTCCGATGTCCCGCGCCCGGGGGCAAGGCTCGGGTGCTGCTAGAACTGCCCCTGGCCCAGGGTGCGCCCCGGATTCCCTCGGGGTGGCCCAGGCGGCCTCCAGGGGCACCCCTCGCGAGGCCCAGAGGAGCCCAGGGGCTCCAGAACGCAGCGAGAAGCTGGGGGCACCCTGGGGGGCCAGGGGCACCTCCTAGCGACGCCCGATGCAGCGGCCGGGGTCCGACGTCCCGCGCCCGGGGCCGAGGTCACGGTGAGCCCGATCTTGCTCAGCATCTTCCACGCCCTCGCCGGCCCGGTGTGCGGTCGCGGCCAGCGTGCCCCGGAGGGGGCGCCCGCGGAGACGCCGCCCCCAGACGCTCGGGCGGGGTGGCGGCGACAGCCAGGGAGGTGGTCGACTGCACGTGAGAGTTGAGTCGGGCCTGTCCCTCGTCAGGGGAATATTCAAGAATAGCAAAAACAGTCTGGGGACGTTTTTTTTTTCTTTTCTTTTTTATCTTGTTTGGTCACGTTTGGAACATTGCCTGTAGGGGGGCAGGCCCGACGTAAAGCCAGGGAGGGGGTCGACCACACGTAAGAGTGACCCTTCGCTGGAGTGACCTTTGGTGCGGGCACAAAAAGGGGCCTCCCAATGGCCGAGCGCGGTGCGACAGTAGCGTCCTGCGCGGTTGTGTTTTGGCCCCCCACGGTCCCCCAAAGACCGCGCAACAAAGGCCACTCTTGCCCAGGGCCACTCCTTCGTGTAGCCGAGGGGGGGGGGACATCGGAGGGCACCATCTGCACGCCTACATCGTGGGGCTTTGGGCTACGCGCAGGCAGCCCCGCCCCACCCCTAGGGGGACGAAAAATGGCATAAACAATTACTCCAACGGCAAGACCCCACATGAAAATCCTTCCGGCTAATCTGGAAATAATTTTCATTGTCCTCCTCACGATTACTGAGTCGCCCTTATTGTCTTTTCTGCGTCATTATCATTCTCGCCCTGGCGCAGGGCCCTCACCCCTCCCAGCGTTGCCCTTGCCTCGCCCTCCTGCTGTTTGTTTCGTCACCCACCACCTCCTCTCTTGTCTATTGCAAGTGCGCGCGCGTCGATTTTCTTCGACGCCGTCGCCGCCTCGGCCACCGCGGGCGCATTCTCAAATGGCCGCGACGCGCGGCCGTTGGGACAACCCCGCGGGCCAGGCCGTTGGGGCAACTGCGCGAGTCGCTGGGGTGCGGGAGCAAGCCGTTGGGACAACCCCGCAGGCACCGAGCTGGTCACGGCCGCGTTCACGCGGTTACTACCCCCGGCCCGGACGCAGGGGTTTCGCCCCTGCGCCCGGCTGCCGTCGTCGTCCCCATTTCCTGTTCCTTCTCTGCCTCCTCACCTGATGTGTCGGGCGAATCGCCTTGTGAAGAGCGCATAGGGACGGGCCCTCGCCTGGGACTTCCGCACGGTTCACTCACAGACGAGGCTCCCTGCCTGATACTTCTTCCATATTCAGGCCTGGGGAACAAAAGGACGACGGTTACAGGGATGAGGATGATCCGCTCGGATTAAAAACATGAGGTGCGGGCCCCACGGGGCTCCCGCCGGACACTTCGTCAAAAACATGATGCGCGGGCCCAGTACGGAGGGGGTTCCCGCCTGAGACTTCCTCGCAGTTCACTCAGAGACGAGGTTCCCGCTTGATATTCCCCCCACACGCAGGCCTGAAAAGGCCCCAAAATGACGACGTTTAAAGTTTTAAGGTTCCGATGACCCGCTCGGGCTACCAACGTGAAGTGCGGGCCCCATAGGGAGGGGGCTCCCGCCTGTTCTCCACAGTTCACACACAGACGAGGCTCATGATGTTGATGATTGGTGATGAGGAGGATGATGTGATGGTGGTGTGTTCCTGCGCGTGGTGTCCGGGTAAAATGATGCTGAGTAATGAAAAAGAAAGAGAGAGAGAGTGTGTGTGTGTGTTTGTGATGTGCAACCGAGTATGAAGATGGCGGTGGTGGTGGTGCTGCTGATGAGGAGGATGATCGATGTCCGATGGTGATGCTGATCGTTGGTGCGTGACCGAGTATGATGATGGTGGTGGTGATGATGATGATGCTGATGATGATGATGATGATGATGATGATGATGATGACCGATGGTGATGATGACCGATGACGGGGCGAATGCGTGAGTGAAGCGGAAAGCGGGAGGGCGGTGAGGCTCCTGCGCGGAAGGCGTCCAGAGCAAGCTAAAACCCCAAGTTGGATGTGGGGAAAAAACTCGGAGGTCCGCGCAGATTTTTTGGATCCGCGTTGGACCCCCCTCCCTGGCGCGCGGAGCGCGCCAGGGGCGGCGCCTGTGGCTCGGCCGGGGGGGCCCAGCGCCGATCCGAGAAATCCGCGCGGACCTCAGAGTTTTTATGTTTACGTCATTTTTCGTGCCCCCCACCCTTCAGTCGGGCGTGTCCCTCTACAGGAGGACTATTCAAAATTACCCCAGCGCGACCCTACCTAGAAGTTGGAGCCCCGAGGAAAGCAGCATTAGTTGCTATGTTATGCTATGTCATGCTATGCTGCGTTATGCTATGCTATGCTATGCTGCGCTACGCTATGCTATGCTATGCTATGCTATGAGTTGCTAAGCTATGCCATGTCATGCTGCGCAGTGCTATGCTAAACTATGATAAACTGTGCTATGCTATGCTATGCTATGCTAAGCTGCGCTATGCTGTGAGTTGCGTTGCTATGCTATGCTATGCTATGCTATGCTATGCTATGCTATGTTGCGCGATGCTATGCTATGATATGCTATGCTATGCTATGCTATGCTTGGCTTTGTTATGCTATGCTATTCTATGCTATGCTAATGCAGCGCTGCGCTATGCTAAGCTAAGCTAAGCTAAGCTAAGCTAAGCTAACCTAACCCTCTAGGCAGAGCCTGGGTAGGGAATTACACCCATGCGAATTACCCGAACAGAAAACTAAACTGGCAACGCGGTTGGCACACACGAGCGCCACAAAATACACCCACAGATCTTTTGCTTTGCTTTTCTTTTGCTGTGCTTTGCTTTGCTGTCGCTGCTGTTGCTTTGCCTTTGCTTTGCTGTTGTGCTATGCTATGCTATGCTATGCCATGCTGCGCTGTGCTGTGTTGTTCTGTGCTGCGCTGTACTATGCTATGCTATGCTATGCTGCGCTATGCTATGATATGCTGTGCTGCGCTATGCTGTGCTACGCTATGCTATGCTATGTTGTGCTCTGCTATGCTATAGCTCGGCGAAGCTAAGATGAAGGTCACCTGAGCAAATATATACCTGAGCTAAGCTAAGATGAAATAAATTAAGCTAAGATGAGATAAGCAACACTAAGCTAAGGGAACGCAACTGGGGGAACCGCGGGGCGGATGCCGGGGGAACCGCCCGGGGCGATTTGCACTGCCCGGCCCCTTTAAGCATATAGAGTAAGAACCCCTCTAGGCAGAGCCTAGGTAGGGAAATAGTAAGAAAATTGCATTTTCGCCCAAAATCTGCCTGTAGGGGGACACGCCCGACCTGACCCGACCCCCTGAGCAGCCCGGGGCGATCTCGATCCCCTGGGGCGCTCCAGGGGTGCAAGCGCCAGGTTCGAGCGGCCCCAGGCCACCCCCGGGAGCCTGTTGAGGCCATGTGTGGCTGCCCGAGGGGCTTGGAGTCTAGGCCGCCTAGATGGGGTCCGAGTAGATGGGGTCGGAGGATCGCGCCGCATCGCCGATTCATCGGCTATGCGGCTCGATGCGGAGCCCGATGTTCTCCGCGCTGGCGTCGCCGATGCAACGCCGACGCCGGCGATGCATCGCCGGTGCATCGCCGGTGCATCGCCGATGCATCGCCGATGCATCGGCGATGTGTCGGTGATGCGGCGCGATCCTCCGGCCCCCTCTGCTCCGACCCCAGCTTGGAGGCCTCTACGGAGCCAGCTGGGCCTCCCTCGGGCGGGGGGGCTGCCCGTGCTCAACCCGAAGCCTCACCACGCCTACGCGTAGGTCGGGCAGGTCCCATTACAGGAGGAATATTCAAAGATAGTTTTAAGAAAAATCAGAGAAGGTCAAACAAATTCAAACATAGTCAAAGATTGTCAAGAGTCTGGGAATAGTCGAAACAAAGATAGTCCAAATATCATATATAGTCAAAGATGGTCTAACCATAGTCAAAACAAGTCTGGGGACGATGTTCCGATGTTGTAGGTCGGTGTACTTTTTGAATCTGTGTTTTTCTTAGTCCAAGATTCGCCTCTAGGAGGACATGCCCGACCGAAACCTGCCCCGATGCTGGCCAGTCCGATCCTGCGTCAAGACTCGGAGATGTCTCGCTGCCCAAGCCAGGAGGGGGGGGGCGTGGACGCCGACTCTGGAGGCCCAGGTCCAAACCCCCTCAGGTTATGAAAAAATCACGACGGGAGGTTTTTCATAATTTTTGACTCTGGGGGCCCTTACCAAAAAACGACTCAGAACGAAAACCGGTCCCTGGGAATGGGTCCAGATCGCTGGGGGTCGACGTCATGAAAAAATCATGACGTCGGATGTCTGGGGGGTCAGCGCGGCCCTGATCATTGGGTAGGCGTATGCTTGGCGTCCTTGGGGGTCGCTGGCGGGGACGTCGACGGCGGTGACAACTGCTTGACCTCTCCTCTTCCTCCTCCTCCTCATCCTTCTCCTGCTCCTCCTCCTCCTCATCCTCCTGCTCCTCCTCCTCCCGAATTCTGGCCAGAACGCGCCCCAGGATCGACGCGTCGCGCCGATTATTGATTGTCGATGTTGGTTGTCGATGCTGATTGCTGGTTGAGGGTTCTGGTTGCCGACCGTTGATTCCCAGCGTTTCGCGTTGCCTCTGGTTTGGGCGTTCCCCGCCCTGGGGTTGGGCTTGTTGCTTTTGCGAGGGCAGCGGGGAGCGCGCCGACACCCACTCGCAAAGGAAGAGGGAGAGAGGAGGGAGGAGGGAGGGACCACCACAGGCTATACGGGAAGGTTAAGGGCTAAGGTTAGCCCGACCCGACCCTTAACCAAGAAAAAGGGCGTCGTATCCGATCTCCACTGATGCCCTCTTCGGCCTGCCTCTCGGCTCCTTCCTTCAGGAGCTGGGCACCAGGGATTGGCTGGGAAAGTCGGGGGGCGGCCTTCAAAATGCTTCTGGGGTGACGGCCGCACGAAAGGAGCGCCCACGCAGTCTGGAACATTTTCTTCGGAAGCGTTCCTTACATTCACCTTGGAGCCCTTTCAATTTGCACTCGCAGTAGTGGCCGCACCTCTTGCACATGAGTTACAATGAAGGACTCAACATCGAGGTAACCACACACGATGAGGGTATGCTTCTTTGGCTCTCTAATGAAAGGAGGCATGGCAACAGCATTACCAGGTCATGCTTCAAGCATGCGAGACGTGCGGATGTTGTCGGCTCTCGCTCGAGCGTGGCAGGCGAGGCATAACGAATGCATGTTCAGCCACGCCCATTGGTGCCTCCTCCTCCTCGCCCCTCCTCCTCCTCGTCCTCGTCCTCCTCCTCCTCCTCGTCCTCGTCCTCCTCCTTCTCCTCCTCCTCGCCCCCTCTCCTCCCCTCCTCCTCCTCCTCCTCCTCGCCCCTTCTCCTACCCTCCTCCACCTCCTTCTCCTCCTCCTCCTCTTTTTTGCGTTGCTCAGACCTGAAGCATCTGCATGTGGCGTTTCCTCCTCCTTCTCCTCCTTCTCCTTCTCCTCCTCTTCCTCCTCGTGGCCCTCCCTCCCTCCCGAGGTTTGCCCACAAGGCGGGGACGGTGGATCCACCCAGGCATGGACCGACCCGGCTGCCCCGATTTTGGGGCTGAGGCTCCCAGAGGGCTTCTCGTAGACCTTCTTGCCCGTACGTGGGGCGAGGGGAGACTGTGCAATTCCATCTCCTGCTGGGACGGGCCTGGGATGTGGGCCGTTGCTTGTTTGGCGACATTGCCAGCCCAGCCGTCACCTTCAGCAACAATCAGAAGGCGAAAGCCCACCCCCACCCCCAGTCCCGACGCCCACCCCCGAGCCGGCGATTCAAGGGGTCGGGACTGGGGGTGGGGGTGGGTTTTCTCCACTCCTGGACCCCGAAAGCGGGCCCCCACCCCGAGTCCCGACTCCTTGAATCGCGGGTTCGGGGATGGGGTCGGGACTGGGGGTGGGGATGGGTTTTCGCCGTCTCAGACAAACCAGTCCCCCGAGCCAGCCTCCGACCTCTAGGTCCTTGTGGGCCTTCACGTTCTGGACCTCGAGGGGCCGAACACTGTGTCCTGGGCCCAGGCCAAAACTGGCACACGAGCAGACATCTATGTCCTACTAACCTCTCGGCCCTGGTGGACCGAGAGGATACCTTTGACACCCTTGCACGCTACCCTAGGTGTTCGGCGGCGGGCGACGTGGGGGCAGTCTGACACGGGGCCAGAGATGCTGGCAGCTAGGTCGTCGGCGATTTTGACCATGGACCTGGCGGGAGCGTCGCAAACCGCGGGCCCAGATCTTAAAACGCTGCCGTCGTGAAGATCTGCTCCTTTCATGGCAGCCTCCTTGGGCTGGCCATCCCTTGAGCGTTGACCGCGCTACCTATTCCTACCGAAGGGGCCTCGTAGCGACAGGCTCAGGACGAAGCTGAAACCCAAGAACAGATATGGAAATCCACTTCTCGGATCCATAAGCTCCTGATTGTTGTCGCCGTCTTTTAGTTTTTCCGTCGTCAGGGCATGGCACTCAAAGAGTTTTTGTGAAGCCGAGTCGACGGGGCCTTTGCAGAATCCGCATTCAATCTCGCCTTGCGCAACTTGCTGACATCTTTTTTCTTCGTCCAGATATATCGACGGTCGTGTGACAGCAGCGTTTCACGCATATGATTGGGGATCGTGGTGTCCTACAGCGCATGCTGCATGGCCGACATGCAGAGGGACTCGGCCAGGCCGAGCTTGAAGGCAGCCTGTACATTCAGCTGTTGTTGCCACGGGGTCTGACACATCATCTTGAGGAGGGAGGGGGAGGTCGTAATGAAAGGAGCACTTTGTCTTGTATGATCCTGGAAGACTGGGGTCGGGCATCGACCATTCCAGACGGCCCAGCCTGAGCAGCGTGGCCCCAACAGGCGGGGGGGTCTTGTTGAAGACCTGGGCCTGGGCTCCGGGGCCAGGGTGGTGAAGCCCACGGTTCCAGGTTGATGGGCAACTCTCCAGACTAAGTTGTCCTAAGAGCAGTCCCGCTCCAAGGCAACACTCCACGTAGGATCTCCCAAGATTGAAGGAGCCAGAGACCTGGATCTGGTGGCACAGCGGGGTCCTGTAACCGCAGCCCGGGATTCGTGAGGCCCACGATCTCCGTGCCTCAATAGGCGGCGACCGTCAGGCTTGTCTGACACATCTAACGCGTGTTCGCACCTGCACGCCTGAGCTGAGCCACACTGTGAAGTCTTCTCCTCATGTTCACCGTCCGCTTCTGAAGGGTGGTGCGGGCCTTCTTGGAGAGTTTGTTCCAATGGTAGAATGAACTCCGAGGTTTGGCGCAGATGACGCGTGCTTGGGTCCGTCGGGTCCACTATACTTTCCTAGCGCTTTCTCCAACTCCTGCTGCACTACGGCGGACGAGCCGAGCACCGCCGCCTTGCGCAATACAGCCGTGCATTCAAGGTTCTCCTCGATCAAATCCAGCATGCCATGTCTGGCCTTTGCCAAGCCCGACACGAGGAGGTGAACACTAATGCTGTGGCTGGCCAACGTGGGATCATCTATGAAGATCGAGGGGTCTACGTCAGAGAACCTCGGGGCCCAGGGGTCCATAGGGAGGCGCTGGGTACATCTGGACGCTGAAGGTCGCAAGCGAACCGCCCGCGCGATAGCCTGTGGTAGCACACCCAGCATACATGGCCAGGGTCGTCGTGGCAACCACTCGCGGCCCCCCCATACTGGTTCATCACGAGGCACACGAGCATTACCGACAAACCAGAGCAGACAGCCGAGGAAGGAGGAGAGAGAGAGAGAGAGAGAGAGCGGCCCGAGGAGGAGGGACGCAGGGAGGGAGGGAGGTTGGGAGGGAAGGGGAAGGAGGAAGAGGAGGAGATGGAGGAAGGAAGGGGGGAAGGGAAGAAGGGAGGAGGATGAGTAAGGCAGGGCTGGGGGATGAAGGAGGCGGGGGGAGAGGGAGGAACGAGGAGTCAAGAGTAGAAGGAGGAAGAGGAGGAGGAGAAGGAGGAGGAGGAGGAGGAGGAGAAGTAGGAGGAGGAAGAGGAGGAGGAGGAAGCAGAAGGCTCGGCTTGTGGCCCCCCCTCTCTCTCTGTCTGCAGGAGCTGGACTCCGTGGAGCAGTAGGTGGGGCGGGCCTCGGCCTCCAGGCCCGCCGTTGTGCTCGTCCGGCAAAAGCCTGTGAGCACCCTGTGAGCGTCGTGCGCATCCGGAAGCACTCGGCGACGGGGGGCTCCCGCGCGGTCTCTTGTTCGAGGAGGAGGAGGAGGAGGAGGAGGAGGAGGAGGAGGAGGACGCAGGAGGAGGAGACGCAGGAGGAGGAGGAGGAGGAGGAGGAGGAGGAGGAGGAGGAGGAGGAGGAGGGAAAGCGGAGAGGAGGAGGAGGAGGAGGGAGGAGGAGGAGGAGGAGACGAGGAGGGAGGAGAGGAGGAGAGGAGGAGGAGGAGGAGGGGGAGGAGGAGGAGGAGGGGGAGGAGCGGGAGGAGGAGGAGGAGGAGAGGAGGAGGACGAGAGGGAGGAGGAGGAGGAGGAGGAGGAGGAGGAGGAGGAGGGGGAGGGGGGAGGAGGAGGAGGAGGGGAGGAGGGGGAGGAGGAGGAGGGAGGAGGAGGAGGAGGGAGGAGGAGGAGAGGAGGAGGAGGAGGAGGAGGAGGAGGAGGAGGAGGCGGAGGAGGGAGGAGGAGGAGGAGGAGGAGGAGGAGGAGGAGGAGGAGGAGGAGGAGGAGGAGAGAGGAAGAGGAGGAGGAGGAGGAGGAGGGAGGAGGACGGAGGAGGACGGAGGAGGACGGAGGAGGAGGAGGAGGAGGGAGGAGGAGGAGGAGGAGAGGAGGAGGAGGAGGAGGAGGAGGAGGCGGAGGAGGAGGAGGAGGAGGAGGAGGAGGGGAGGGAGGAGGAGGAGGAGGGAGGAGGAGGAGGAGGAGGAGGAGGAGGAGGAGGAGGAGGAGGGGGGGGAGGAGGGGGAGGAGGAGGAGGAGGAGGAGGAGGAGGAGGAGGAGGAGGAGGAGGAGGAGGAGGAGGAGGAGGAGGAAGAAGAGTACGCAGGAGGAGGAGGAGGAGGAGGAGGAGGAGGAGGAGGAGGAGGAGGAGGGGATGGAGGAGGAGGAGGAGGAGGAGGAGAAGGAGAAGGAGGATCAGTGCAAACCGAAGACTCTTCAATGTTGTCGGGATTCACCTTCCCTCCAAGCTCTTTCGTCGCAGGCCCGTACAAGGATTAACTTCCACTGAGGGAAGTGCCCCGTTGGAAGAGAACCGTGTGAAAATTCCGAAGCGTGCCAAACGACCATTCTCAGGACTCCAACGCCACGAGTCAACCTGACTGTTGCGTCTTCGCGATCCGGAATCGCGTCAGAACGCCATGTTGGAGATGTCTACACCGCGAGTAATCGTAACCTCTGCGCCCTGGCAATCTTGAGCTGTTCGAGAACACCGTTCCAGGAAGGTTAACCATGAGCGTTCGCGACAGTCTTGCATCTGTGAATACGAATGTGTGCGGCGGTAAGGCGAGAGCCACATGTTGAGAAGGAACCGTCCTAAATCCCTGAAGCTTTCGCAGAGGTGTCAAACGAATGTGCGTGCGCCAAGGCGGGAGCCACATTTTGAAAACAACCCGCCCTTAATCTTCAAAACTTTCTAAATTCTTGACGCTCCGCATAACCCCGCCAGCTTGGCCGCGTTGGGCCCTGTTCCGCCCTGTGCCGAGCGCCGCTTGTTTCGCTGTTTTCCCCATTTGCTTCGGCGCGGCCCGCCCTAGCTTGCTCGGCGTTCGACTCGTCTTCGCGCGACCGCGTACCAAAAAGTAACCCCGCCAGTCCATCCAGACGCGATGCCCAGAGGAGGTGCCTCGATCAGGGAAGTTGGCAGCACGCAGAGGAAGGGCCCCTCTTGGAGCGCTCTTGAGGGCCTCTTTGCCGCCCCGGGGGCCTCCTGGAACGCTTCTGGTGCCTCGGGGAGTTCGATGGGGCCTCTTAGGGATCTCTTGGGGGCCTTTTGGAGGCTTCTTGGGCGCCTCTTTCGGCCTCCTGTGCGCCTCTTGGGGCCATCTCGAAGCGTTTCTGGGAGCCTTGGGAGCGCTCTCGGGGCCGTCGGAGGAGATCGCTCAAAAAAGAGAAAGCTTTAACTACGATCCCCCCTCGGGAGCCCCAGAAATCGCCTCCTGGACCGCTCTTGGGCCTCTCCTGGAACGCTCTTGGGCGCTCTTAGGGGCCTTCTTGGGGCTCTCTTGGGCCTCTCTTGGAGCCCTCATGGGTCCTCTTGGAGCCGTCTCGAGGCCTCGGAAGGCGTTCGAAAGCAAAAAGGCAAAACGGTTACAAACAACGATTGTCCTTAGATTCCGACGCTGGGGCGAGTTGCACCACGCGTGCCAGGCGCGCCACGCGCGCCAGGCATCCCCGAGGCCCGAGCGTGCCAGGCACGGCTGGTGCGCCAGATGCGCCACGTGCTCCGCGTGCGCAAGGTGTGCATACTCCAGCCGCGCCAGGTGCGCCACGTTCGCGGCACGTGCAGAGTGTGTCAGGTGCGCCTGCGCACGTGACAGCACACATCGGGAACATATCGGCCCCCACAATACTTGACGAGAACCAATGCCCATCATTGTGTCTGGTGGACCTGCGTGCCGAACCCTCGCCGTCCCTGTCAGAAACACTGTGACAGTGATCGCGGGGTGGCCGCGCATGGTCCAGATTTAGCCGCGAGGTGCATCTTGTATTGTTCTTGGGCGAAGCATGGTGATGGTAGCCCAGCACACAGTAGGCAACATGCTGACACCCCCGCCAGCGCTGTCAAAAACAATGCAAAGTGTTCGCGGGCCTCACGATCATGACTCAAGATTTTGCCCCAATGCATTTTGTATTATCATTTGACGCGGATGGTAGGGGGGGCGCATCGGTTTGGCCGCGCATGCTCCAAATGTGGAGGCAGAGGGCGTTTTGTATTGTTTTTGACAGGGATGGTGGGGGGGATCATGGTTCCTGGTTGGTCACCACTCGCCAGGGGGAGGGGGTGTATATTGTAATGGCCTCCGGCCAGTGCCGCCGATCCGGGAGGGCTCCGGATTTGGTGGTCTTCGCGGCTTTGTGGCCTCTTCCCTCGTCGATTCTTCTGGTCGTTTTTCTTCTCCTCTGGGGGGGGGGTGGAGCGGTCCCGGGGGGTGGGGGGTGGGGAGGATTCCGAAGGGAGGGTCCTGGGGGCGGTAGCGGCTAGGTCTGAGGGTGGTCCCGGAGACCCTCCGAAACATTTTGGGGATGCGCAAAAAATTAAGAAAACGCCAGATGGAGGGCCGCCGCCCCCCTCCCCCCCTTCCCCGGGGAGGCTCCAGATGCGCAAACCATGAAGAAAACGCCAGATGGGGGAACCCCCCCCTCCCCCCTTCCCCGGAAGAGCCACCCCAGCGACTCCCCCCAAGCAGAATTGAAGCTCTTGCCTAGGTTCAGAGCTGCAACCCTTGTTGAGGCTCCTTGTAGCTCACGCACCGAATCGGCGGATGATAGGGAACAGTGAGAAGCCCTTCCCCGAGAGGGAAGAATTGGGTTGGATGAGAAAGCTCTCTAGACCACCTACGGCCTAAAGGGCTGGTTGGGCTTGTTGAAACGATTGTTCGCGGCGTGAAGGCGAGAGTCACAGTTTGAAAAAGGAGCCACCCTCAATCCGCGAAGCCCTAGCAATTGTTTAAGACGACTGTGCGCGGCGCGAAGGCGAGAACCACATTTTGAAAACGACCCGCCATCCATCTGTGAAGCTGTGCCGGTTTCTATGTTTCAGGCTCAGACGTGGTAAGTCTCAGGCGAGGCGCCCGGCCCGCCCTTCCGACCAGCCTTGGGATGCGACAGGGAAGAGTTATTCATAAGTAAAAGAACGGATGAGATGGAGGAGGAGGAGGAGCAGGAGGAGGAATGATAATACGAAGCACAAGAATAATAATAGTAATAGTAATAATAAGTATTATAATCGTAGTAGTAGTAATAATAATAATAATAATCCTAATACTAATACTAATACTAGTAATAATAAGAAGAATAATAATAATCATACAAAGAAGAAGAAACAAACACATCATACGGATACGAATAAGAAGAAGAAACGTAACAATAAGAGGAGGAGGAGGATGAGGAAAAGGAGGAGGGGGGGGCCTGCTGAGGCCAGCCATGACTACATTGGGGGCTACCAGCTACGTGCGCTGATTCGCTAACCCGTCCCTTGGCTACCATCCCCCCCTAGAAGAGGGCTGAGGTCGTCCAGATGGCAGGCGCCACGTCAGGGGGGTATAGGCGCAGGGGGGACGCATCGACCCCCAATCGCCCAATCACCGCCGAGAGGGGCCCGATGGCCTTCTCCGCCAGCAGGCGTGCGGCTTCGCCATCGGGAGCCCTGCCGCCGATCTCTCGGCGATGCATCGCTGACTCCGGGTCGATGTTCTCCCCCGTCCCCGTGTCATCCCAGCGCCCAGGGGACTGGGCCAGGAATCAGGAGAAAACAAAAACACACAGACACAATTAGTCGTAGATTCCCCAGACAATATGGGAAAACATTTGAAGTGGGGGGAAGACAACAACCCAGAAGATATGGGAAAATGCGGGGACTCTTGTTATTTGTGTGTATTTATTTGTGTGTCCTAGGGCCCCCTCAAGGAGGGGCTCCGCGTCCGCGCCGGCGCCGCCGAAATCCGTGCCCTGGTGCGCACGCACCCCGGTGCGGTGCCACAGGGCGGCGGTTGGGCCGCCGGCGCGTCGAGTAATCCGTAAGGGCTTCGCCCCCTGCCGCCGGCCCCCTCTCTCGGAGAATGGGCCATGGAAGAGCTAAGTCATGAGGCCTTGGCGCTGTCGTGAAGCAGTATCGAAACTTCATGCGAAGCCGAGTCGCAATCAGCAAAACCAACTGATCACAAGAGGGGTTACCACACCTGGCGATTGGTAAGACGTGTATGGTTTAAGGGCTTGGTTACCACACCTTGCGATTAAAGGGCCGAGGGAGTTCTCGCAGTTTGGGTTACCACGCCTTGCGATGGATGTGCGTGATGGGTTCGAATTTCAGAAATGTGGCAAATCCCCTGTGTTTTTGGACACCCCGCGGATCTGCGTAAGGGGTGGCGCCGAATTTCAAAATGTGGCAAATCCCTTGTGTTTTTTGACCCTGA